GCGCACAAGGCGTGTGAGGCTCACAGGTTGGACATCAATTCCCATTAGAGTGCATAAACCTTTCCAGCGACCAAGCTCTTCTTCTTGCCTTTACCTCCGTGTTTGGGTTGTCGGCTCAGGTAAATTCGTGCAGATGACTGTTAAGTTGGTGTTCCTAAAGCCTCTCTTGTAGCCTACTGACGGTTTTTCTGATGGTTTGCTAGGCTTCAGTGATCTAATGACATCCTTTGTTTCTGGGTCACTGGTTATGTCTGTTGTTGCCGTTGGTACATTGTTGACAACGATTTCCTGTGTACATNAGGCTCATAGGTTGGACATCAATCCCCATTAGAGTGCACAAACCTTTCCAACGACCAAGCTCTTCTTGCCTTTCCCTCAGTGTTTGGGTTGTCGGCTCAGGTAAATTCGTGCAGATGACTGTTAAGTTGGTGTTCCTAAAGCCTTTCTTGTAACCTACTAACGGGTTTTCCGTTGGCTTGCTAGGCTTCAGTGATCTAATTATATCCCTCGGCTCTGGGTTCGTAATGTAGTTTTGAAATTTATATTTCAATGTAATGATTATCATGACTCGGGCTCAGAAATACGATACACCAGACTCTATGGAACTTGTGCAGAGAAGGCAAAACGTTGTTATAGTTAAAGACGGCACAAACAGAAAAAGGTGATAAACACAAGTAACTTACTTTCATAGTTTCGGCGCTTTGAAACGAAGTGGATTGGAGCAAAGAGCAAAGTTGTTGCGGTGAACGTTTGTGCATCAGATAAACTCCAACAATACTGTAAATAAAACTGGAGTAATCATGCGTCCACGTCAACCGAATGTAGTTCGCAATCGCTGGTGACACCCGAAGCTGAGAAGCGACAGATAGTCAGACGGGCACACGCAAAGGACAGAAGAACATAGAGTTAATCAAATGATAATAAATAGGGATGAATAGGACTCACCCTCAAATATATACAACAGCAAGGGATTATATTGCCTGTTAAAAAACAGTGACTTTGGAATTAAGAAACACTTGACGTATTGATGGCTGTGGCTTAAATTTCACAGTTTCGTCAGACGTAAATGAAATGAATGATATAATGAGATTAGCGTCTTTCCGTGTGCCGTTTGTACGTCTATCAGTGCACTCTGCTATAGACTAACAAATATATGAATGAACTAACAAAAGATTACCGGATACGCATGTCTGACGAGCGGATTTACCGCGAAACCGGTCGTGTGCTTCCAGGGAAATTTCGTCTAGTCATTCACATATTACTTAATATATGTATATATATATATATATATATCGCGGTTATGAAGCTGGCAGTTTTTACAACCACTATCCATACACTTTCGTGCGACAGTTTTGGCTACTGTCTTCTGGCCGCCCATTTGGATAAAAGAGCAGAATGAAGATTGGAATGTTGAGAGCCAATCAAACCGGAAGATAGAGAATTCATATAGACATATAGACTGATGTTACAAGAATAATGAGTGGATACATGAGCACCACCGCTTGCGACACCCAGCTATATTACTCAGTGTCTCTAACCATTGGTGACCATGATCTCGGGGGGCCCCAGCCAGGGAGCCTAAAGCGACCCACGTGGAACAGTCGACCGGTTAGGGTTTTCATACCCTCATGCCAGGTCCTCATTTGACTACCCTTGACGTTTTTCCAACTGCTACCTGTCTCAGCAAACATCGCTCGTCATGGCAACCTATTTGGTGACATGCGTAAAACATGCCTCAACCAACGTAATCTATGGAGGTCGACCACTTACTCCAGTGGACGACCGCGATTACCTGAAACTGCACCTAACCTCAGCATTGCTAGTCCGGTTACCCCACCAGACTCGTGCAATGCTACGTAGACAGCGGTGTTCGCACACCGACAATCTATTTTTATCTTGTTCCCGTAGTGATCAAGTCTCTNCAAGTCTCTGTACCGTACAGCAGCACTGGTCGAACTGTTGCAGCAAATACTCGACCCTTCACAGACAGCCGGATGTCGCGACGGTGCCACAAATGTCTCATGTTGGCAAATGCTAACCGAGTCTATTGTATGCTCGCCGACACTCCATCAATCAGATATGCGACCCACACAATAAGATGTACAGAAATTTGATACTACTCCAAGTTGCTGGAATACAAAAAAGTGATTGGTGGTCGGCAGTTGTTTTCCTGTCTTGCGGCCCCGTATTAAGCCTATGTTAGTGGGACCTTATGCCACTCCAAGTGTCTGAGCTTAGAACGGTGTATGAGATTAAATGCTGGATGGTCAATCCAAAGCAAAAACAGAATACGGCTGCGGAGAATTTTCATTTGAAAGCTGAGATGGCATCAAAAATGTTGAATTGCAGAGAAGTTTAGGGACAGGAGTCAAAATAACAAAGCGGGATGCAATTTTTATTTAAAACCTCAGATATTTTAGAAGAGTAAAAATTAGAAGTATAACTGAAAAACGATAATTAAATCAAGGACTGATCGAGAGAGATAAAGCACTTGGATTTTTAAAAAGTGTTAACCGGAGCGTGGAAACAACGATCACTTACAAACTGCGTAATGTTGATCGGTCTTGGATTGCGACGACCGTCCAATCCAGGGCGATTGCTAGGCAATAGCGGAGGAAGTTGAACAGGACGACCGTTGACCTGGATGGCCAAATGTACCGGCAAACTGTCTTCGCTCAGAGTTAATATGCACGGTTTAGGGATCGGATCCAGACGTGAACCTCGGTTGGTTGTGAGCCCATAAGCTTCTACCAACTGTGCCGAGAGATCCGGATCAAGGCGAGCGAAACGCATGATTACTTGCACACCAAAGTCCATCCGGTCGTTTGCCACACGTCGACTAATCAGGGACAGAATAGTATAATAAAATACATGTAATTAGTGCTATGGTAATTTTGTAATCCAATGTCGGTTATTGCCTATCGGTAACTCGAACCAAGACAAGGACAATGTGGATGAACGATAAAAAGTGAGCAGACTCACAAGCACAAGTGTTATCGACAGAAACAGATCAAGAAGTATGAACCTAATCATCCAAAGTGATCGTGCCTACCCAAATCTTTAGTTCTAGTCATTGCACGATTAACTGATTTATCACATTAGGATTGTGGGAAGTTGCAAGAAGACAGACAAAAATTATCATATTGTATTCAGCTGCATTGGACATGGATAAAAAGTGCATTATGCGCACCATGTACATACGTCTGCATTGCAAAGTTATGAAAAACGTGACAGTTTATGTGTGAAATCAATCTGCCATTGGAAATGCAGCCACTCAAATAACTTATATACGATACTGCCGGCTCTTCAGAACGGGATAATTTGAGTACCATCAAAAGCATTAGGACCGAGTTCGATTTCTGAACCATCTCGCTTGCCCAGTACAACTACATGAGAATGGTATAAGAACTTTAATGAAGCATCCACAGAAAACTATCGTGGAATAATCAGTGTAGCCATTCCAAAAGCAATGTGCCATTGAAACGGAAGAAAAACCTGATTCAGTGCCTCACTACCAGGGCGCGGAGAATGCATACGGACTATACCATTCAGAATGAACTAAAGATTACTTGAGAGGCTTTTGATCATAACGGATAGCCAGAAAGATTCGTGGGCAACAATTTGGGGCGTCACCAGTTGCGAAACAATATCACTATCGTTGAGAAGAAACCGATCTGTATATCACTGCCTTTCCAGGTCGATACAAAGCAGTTTTACAGTGAAACTTCGCATCGTGTGCATCTCTCCTGGCCACTCTAACGCTTTCAACTCAAACATAAATTACCTCTTTCCACAGTCTCTTTCTGTGTACTTATTTGTGATTAGGACTAATGAAGTCGAATCACGTGGTTAATGTGGCCGAGGTGCTTCGACCCCCCTAATTAGTTCGCAGCCACCTATCTACAGGGATAAGAAGCCGCATAATGGCCGCAGCGGAAGCAATCGGAATCCGCTTAAATAATCACCCCCCCCCCAAAAAAAAAAGAAACACTTCGTATTTGTATTTCGCACACGTCTAAGTTCAACCTGTGTACCGAATAAATCATGGTATAACAACCTTTATCAAAAACGAGAAAGTTCCATGAGTTCTTTGTGGGCGCGATATTGCCTGGTTGCCCAGGCCAGAAAATGTGGATTTTCCTGAGGAAATCACACCCAGAGCCTTTGACTAGCCAAAGTCTGACCCGCAAGGCGTGTGAAAACCGCAATCCGTCTGAGATCGGTATCCGGTTAAGCGGAGCATACACCCTCTGGTCAAACGTCTAAGGTGTCCAACACACCTCGATGCCCAATCGAGCCGGTGATCACTGCCACAACCAAGGTGGGGTTGAGTGTGGTTCGTACACCTCTTGTTCGTGAGTTTGGAATAAGGGATTTTAGCAAACTCCGCTAGGTAAACTACTAGTGGTTCACCGGCCCGGATACTGACTTCTCGTCTTCTCACTTTAGTGGGAAAACACCTCCGCCACGGGAAGGCACTGAGCAGGACTTCCTCAGCAGAGGATGTCTGAGACGATCGGTTGAAAAGGAGCATTTCGTGAGGTGCAAGGGAAGGATAACAGGCCACAAACCAAGGCACCCACCCCGATCGTAATGAGGCTTTCGTAAAAATATTCGGTCTTTCATGGCCAACATCACACGCTACACAGTCATCCCCCTATCCGCCTCTAATTACACGAACCAATACGCATGTGTGACGAACAAAGTGTGAGCAATATCCGGTAATGAAACGGGAATGTGAATTATTTTCCTTCCCATTTCTTCAGGATTACCCTCCCCGCCCAAATAAACCTTTTGACATAAACTGTGATGTATTAGTCGGTAGATGAATCACCGCCTGTTCGCTATTGCGTTACTTTCTTACACGGTGTAGTGATATTTTCGGACAATTAAAACTCTATAAGCTTTTTATGTTGTTGCCCATCCCAATGTTATCAAATTAAGTAATTATCATACAATTTATCATAGAGTTCAACAGCTCTCGTCATGCTATTTCAATGACAGTTGGGATATATGGTCGGTGGTGGCTCGGTGGTCAAGGTCACCAAATTATGACCCCAGAGGAGGACGTATGTTCAAATCATCTTACTACCGCCTGACGTTTCCCATTATACCTTGTATGGCGTCCTTTTGCATGTCCGTTTCCCCCATCCTGAAAACTGCGTCATTGTACATTCAATAAAAGAAAAGGAAAAAGAGAACGGCCGCTTCTGATTTTACAGTACTTGAAGGATAGAAATTCTACTCGTGGTTCTATGACGGTAACGTAGAGATGTATAAACTGCAAGCGGCGCACTAACTGTAAGTGAACCTGAATAAAATCGTTCGAGCACGATCCACCGACATCAGCGTGACATGGTTCGATCCGATTTTCCAGACAAGAGAAACACATGTGCACAGGTATGCATACGTGTAAAGTAAATGGCCGAAATCTGCCACGGGGTTTCGGGCATGTGATTAAGACAGGTCGCAACACCCCCTCCCCCCCACACACACACAGGATCGCACTTTAACAAGAGAAATCGTTGCTGAATTCGGATAATCTGTTTCTTCGTATTTGCTCAACCGTTTTGAGGCCACGAGTATGAACGGACTATTGCCAAACATTTATCTTGTAAAAGGGTAACCATCCCTTTGTGATGCTATTCTACCCCTTGTTTATTTTGAAGGACATGAAAAATACCTTGTGTTCTTATCGGCGATTATAAGTAAGTAAGCTAAATCAGCGAAACACCGCAGTAAGGCATGCGCGGTCCAGTAATTCTACACATACCAGTACACGCTCATGCTTGCCGGGATGCAACAGTCGCGGGAGAAACTTGCATCTAATCGGTGCCATGACTGTGGTCGGAATGGTATTGTGCAAGACCAAACATGGAGCAAATCACCGGGAAGACTGCAAGCAGTGCTTGATTAGCTAAGGCAAACAGTACCCACTGGGTCTGTCTAACGTGGGCAAATAAGGGGCTATCGGTCAGTTTCACCGCCAATCACCTCAAAGAACGATTCTCGGTAGAATGCATTTGATTCGATGCACTTGAAGTTAGAGCAGTAAAAATGTATGATGGAAAAGATAAAAACTGTCATATGATAAATAGTTTTACAAATTAGCTTTCCTGAGGTTTGTAGATAAAAAGAGATTTGCAACCCAAAAGTCTCAAGTGCACTATTTGGTGATAGGCTGAGATTAACTAAATCAGCGAACTTATTGTAAGTCGAAACCGGGTAATAGACGACCATGTTTTCGCAGAACTTGCTGTGAATCCATTCAGATTTGCCCGGATCAACCCAGTTCAATGTTTTTACCGTTTAAATAACCAGCACACAATAAGGACAACAACGACAGTGAGATTAAGCGGACTGAACAAATGTTGCTATTCGAATAGACCCATGATCCACGTAATGAAAAGTACATCGGTCAGAGTGCACCGTAAGCAGTGAACGCGTAGTGACTGTAGTGACCTTTGGTTATCGAGCTCTCATCAGTATCTGAACCACTATGACCAATGCTAGCTGTAGCGTGCACGAAACAGTATTTGTATTTGTATTTGTATAGACTTTTGCGAGAACAGAATGTTCGCATTTCAGTCAAAAATTTACACATTTCATCAATAGAAGGAAAGATACAAGTAAAATATTTAGCCTTTAAGGTTACTGAGAAATTCTGTGGAAGAGCGCTCTCGGTTTACAAGGATTCTGG